TTTTCATGTTGATAGGTGCAATGGTATGCTATTGACTTGTCTGTCCACTGGGAGAGTCAAGACTCTTTCCACTTGTTCCTGGCCTCTCTTTACTGGGACAACTGCGACCCCTAGTGGCTTGTGTTGGGCAATTGCATGTAGATTGGGTCTCCGTATCTTGCCCAGCCGGTATGGAGGAAGTTCCTTTGCTGTGGGCATGGCCAGCCTCAGGCTGCTCCTCTGCTATGGCAGGGCCCCGGAGGGGTAATGGACAGGGGACTGTTTGGCTGTTTACCTCTGTGAGGGGTCTCAGAGCTGTTGCCCAGGGGGTTAGTGCTCCCAGAGTTCCCTGGAATTTCCAGCTGCTAGACTGTGACCCGGGATGCTTCCATCCAGCTGTGGGGTCCCTGTCCCTTTAAGACTTTCAAAAAGCATTCGCTTTTCTTTGTCCCAGGGGCGCCGGCTGCGGGACCCGCTCACAGGTCTTACTGTCCTGCTTCCCTAGTTTCCAGCACCCTGCGCATGCACTGTGTCTGCACTCTGGTGCGGATGGCTAGGGCTAGGTGTTTAGCAGTCCTGGGCTCCCTCTCTCTCCCTGCTACGACTCCTCTCCTCCCGCCAGGAGCTGGGGTGAGGAGTCTCGGGTCCCACTGGGCTGTGGCTTGTATCTTACTCCTTTCACCAGGCGCTGGGTTCTCACAGATGTGGATGTAGTCTGGCTGTTGTCCTGTGTTCTTCTGGTCTCTCTTTTAGGGATAGTTGTATTTGTTGTATTTTCAAAAATATATATGTTTTTGGGAGGATTTTCCCACTGTCCTACTCATGCCACCATCTTGGCCCCGCCCCCATGGTCGGTTATTTATATTTTTGAGGAGTTGACTCATATGAGTTCCTTATATATTTTGGATATTAACCCTTTATGGGATAGATATATCATTTACAAATATATTCTCCCATATTGTAGGATGTCTTTTTGTTTTATTGATAGTTTCCTTTGCTGTACAGAAGATTTTTAGTTTGATGTAGTACCACTTATTTTTGCTTTTGTTTCTCTTTCAGGGAGATATGTCCAGAAAAATATTACCCATGCTTATGTTCAAAAGATTTTTCCATGTTTTCTTCTGAGAGTTTTATGGTTTTGTGCCTAAAATTGAGGTATTTAATCCATTTTGAGTTTACTTCTATGTATGGAGTTAGACAGTAATCCAGCTTCATTCTCTTGCATGCAGCTGTCCAATTTTCCCAATACCAGTTATTGAAGAGGCTGTCTTTTCCCCATTGTATATTCATGACTCCTTTATCATATATTAATTGACCATCTATGTGTGGGTTTATTTCTGGGCTCTCTATTCTGTTCCATTGATGTATGTCTCTGTTCTTGTGCCAGTACCATACCGTTTTGAATACTGTAGCTTTGTAGTATAGCTTGAAGTCAGGGAGTGTGATACCCCCAGCTTTGCTCTTCTTTCTCAAGGCTGGAAAGCCCATGTTGTTAACTGTACTTCTGATTGACTAGCTATAAATCAGAGGTTCCTAAGAGCCCTTCCTTGGATTCAATTCATTTGCTAAAGAGGCTCACAGAACTCAGAGAAATATATTAATTACTAGATCACTGATTTATTGTTAAAGGATATAACTCAGGAACAACCACATGGAGCAGATGCATAGGGCAAATCTGGGGAAGGGAAATGGAGCTCTGTGTCCCCTCCAGGCATGCCAGTTCCCCCAAATCTTCATGTGCTCATCTAGAAGCTGTCTGAAATCATTCTTTTGAGTTTTTTGGAGGCTTCATTACATAGGCATGACTGATTAAATAATCGGCCGTTGGCAATGGATTCAAGCTCCAGTGCTTCCCCACTCTCGGGAAGTCAGAAGTGGGGTAGGAGACTGAAGTTCCAACCCTCTAATCACCTGGTTGGCTCCACTGACCCCTAACACCCATCCTTAGGTGCTTCCCAGTAGTCACCTCATTAATATAACAAAATGTATCACTTTCAGCATTCAGGAAATTCCAAGGTTGGGAGCTGTGAGGCAGGAACTGTGGACAGAAACCAAGTATATATGAGAAATGTATTTTGGTCATCTGAATGACCAAATACATATTTCTTAGCAGTCAGAAAAGAGGGAAGTGGACCAGAAGCTCAGGAGAGAGGCATCTCAAGGAGGCAGCAGCCAGTGGGTGCAATGTTGCTGAGTGGTCAGGTAAGAGAAGGCCTGGAATATGTGTGCCAGGTTTAAGAGAGCAGCCTGCAGTGGGAGCAGGAGAAGGAAGATAGTGTAGACAGGTATTTTAGCCTCCAGGGTCTAGATGAAGGCAGGTAGGGCAGGTAGGGCAGTAGCTAGAGGAAAGTCTTCTATCCAGAAAGTATTTTTGGTATTTGTTAGGCCAGGGAGATCTACATGTAAATAGCCAGTGAGGCCAGTCCAGGAGGGCGTCCTCCTCAGGCCACAGTGCAGGTTCTGAGGACCACGGAGAGGGGGCAGTGCTGAGCAGAGGGTCCAGGATCACAGTGCAGAGGAAGGAACATCTTATCCAGGAGAAACCAGCAGAGCTCAGAGAAAATGTGATCCTTTTGATGGCTGAATGAAGGTGTTTCAGAAGCCTCAATGGTAAAGACCAAAGATTTTAATTAAAAGCCTGATAATGCCTTTGGCTTCCACTTCTCTGAAGGTTCTTAACAGATCATGCTTGGAGCAGTGGTTCCCAAACCATAGGGTGCCTCCATATTATCTGGAGGGAGGCCCAGAGTCTCTGATTCTGAGGGCCTGGGGAGGGACCCAGGAATTCACATTTCTAACAGCATCCCAGGGGTTGCTGACTCTTCTGGTCCCTTTGGAGAATGGCTGCTCTAGGGTCTGGTTCTCAGAATCCATATGTGGCCTGGGAATCTAGAAATAAAACCAATTAATTGAACATGTGCAAGTCAGATGAAAATGTAATTAGTTATAGAAAAAAATAATTAGAAAGGAAGCAAGATTGTGAAAATAGGAAAAATTATTAAAGAGAATGTGCCATTTCTAAAGAAGGATAAGCTAGGTTTTTACAACAAAGTCAATAGAGTGTCACTAGCAAAGGGCTGACTGGCCCCATATACCATGGCAGTGCTGAGAAGCACATTGTTCTGGGTCCTACTTACAGAATCACTGAGTGTGTCTGCATAATTTTAAAGGTATTTCTTTCATCTCCATCACTTTCTAATTCTCTGGAACTTTCTGCTCAGCAGGAAATCTCCATGTAGTATTTCTGGATCTGCCTTGTAACCAAAAACCCCCTGGTGTCTGGAGAGAACAGAACATCTAGTTAAATACCTAAGGTAGCTGTGCTAGAAACCTGACAGCAGAGAGCTGAGTGACTCCAGAGCAGCAAGGCCAACAATTTTTAATTGAGCCCTTGCACACTGACACATCAAAGCTCTGTAGAGACTAAGAGCTCTGAAATAAAAGGGTTTGCTGAGCCTTTACAGACACAGCCAGATAAGGACTGAGTCCTGGGACAGGAAGTCTCTGCTTCACCAGCAGCAGGGCCAGTTCACAGACACAACTTGTCCACCACATTTAAGGAATGGGGGACATGAGTGTCTCAAGGAAAGAAACTTTTTTAGATTCCCATTGGCCGCAGATAAGAAAGGTGGGCTAATGTGAAGTGGGGACAGTCCTGGGAGAGGAGGTCAGTCCACAGAGAAGGCCCAGGGATCAGTTCTTGAGGATGGTGACACTAGTCCTGCACGAGGGGGACACGCTGGTCCTGGGGACCTGCTACATGCTTGGTGGGATGATTGCATCCAGGAGGTGGTTTCTGGTGAGCAGCAGCCTGAGGCTATCGACTGGAGACCTTCCCTTGTCTCTGTCCCCCATTCTTCAGCCCTTAGGTCACTCATTTAGGATGTTTCAGAATTTTTCCTTATCAACACTAACACCACAATCTTTGGGTGTGGTGAGCAGTGGGGAGCAAGTTTGGAGCCTGAACTTGTCATACATGTCATACCCATTTTCCCCAGTCTGTGCAGCTTAATCTGTCTGGCTCTTCTTATTTGAAAATAGTTGATTGAAGCAGGCCTTGCACCTCTCCTTCAAAGCTGCTCTTATCTGCCATTTGTTGTGATATTAAGGTTTAGGACCAGCCTGCGTGTTTGTCCAGAATTCTTCCCCTCCGTAAGGGTTTGCGATGTAGTCAGAATGCCAGATGAGGGTGGAGAGAGAACTGAGCATTGCCTGCCTCTCTTTGGAAGGTGAGCCAGAAATTTTCTGTCCATTTTTTTCAAATTCATAAGATTGATTCACTAGCCTTTTAGAGCACAAGGAAGTGGGGATGGAAGGAACCTTCAAGGGAAGCTGGGGAAAGTGGGCTGTGAGATCAAATCTCAGCCGCAGCTCTTCTCTGCATGGAGAACATTCATGCTCCTTCTCAGCGTCCCCACCCTGGCCTGTCTGTGAGATCCCACTCACATCTGCACTGCTAGAGCTGCTATGCTGAAGAAATGCTTCCTCAATCACATTCAGGCAAAGCAAGACCTTCAGGGGACAGTGATGAGCTCTGGGCCAAGCCTGGGTTTGAGGCCAGCTCTGAGTAAGGTGTGAGGTTCATTGATGTTGGGTGTTATCCAATCGTTCAGGCTCTGAGTCGTTCATCTGGACAACAGAGATGATACAGATACTTGCCTCTGAGGGCTGTTGAGTATGCACAAAATCAGAGCTCAGTGACCTTGGTCATAACCATTAAGGAGCATGGCTTAGGATTTTTAAGAGGCACTGTGGCATCAGCGTCTTGGGGTACTTTTCTTGACAGGTTGCAGACAGATGTGTCCAGAAAACAGGGAAATGTCCAAGAATGGCCTTTGCAATGGCTCAGGTGGAACCACTCATTCACATGGTAACTCATTTCCTCCAGATGCATTTGGTGCAGCTGGAAATTCTGAGAAATGCACTTCCTCCAGCAGTTCAAGCAGATCTGAAGCCCAGGACTCCAGCAAGGGGTTCTCTTCAGAGACAGTAATGCACCATGTTTCTCTCCTCTCCTGCAGACGTCAGAGGATGAGCCTTCTGAAAAGGATGCCCTGCAGCCGGGCCGCAATATCGTGGCTGCGGGCTATGCACTTTATGGTAGTGCCACCATGGTGGCTCTTTCCACTGGGCAAGGAGTGGACCTCTTCATGCTCGACCCGGTAAGTGTCCAGCATGGCAGAATCAGCACCTGGGACTCCATGGTTTCCTGGTCATTCCTAATGCTTGCTTCTGGGGTCAGAGAATGGGGAGCCAATACCATCATCAAAATACATGAGGGACTGTTGTCTAAGTGATGTAATCTGAGGGGTTCTACATGGTCAGCTGTATCATCAGGCCCTGTCCTTAGGTGATTATTATCCAAAAGTGCATTCAGCCTCCCTGGTTCATGGGAATACAGTGATTCAGGAATCCCGACAGAAACAGGGATTCTTTAGAGTGGCACCACCCAGTGTGGTGACGGGCACATTCTGTCACCTGTGCCATCCAGTAGGGTAGCTACTAGCCTCCTGCACCTATTGAACATTTGCAGTGTAGTTATAGTGACAGAAACTGGGTTTTTAAATTTTATTTCATTTTAATCAATTTACATAGTCACGTGAATAGGTACTGGTGGCTCTTGGCTACCTTATTGCACATCCTGGAAGGAAGAGCTGGTAGAAACACTGTTTTATCAGATTCTCTGTTATTTCCCACACTTTCCACAAAGAGAAAATGCTCAGTTGCAGGTGAAGAAGAATCACTGGGTAGATGAAAATATGATAACACAAAGTTGATTGAAAGGAAGAAATAATTGGATAAGGACACAGAGATCAAAACATAAGGCTGAACCTTCATGCCAGTGAACATTAAAAATGCTCAGGTGATGTTTTGGAAGATCTTGCAACTTACAGCCTTTCTTTTTTAAATGCTGGAGACCTTGCCATTGCTCATGCACTGCTTTGCCAAATGTAGTTAGGTCTTGTGAAAGCACAAATTTGAAATAATTTTGGCCAAAGCCATTTCAAAGTTTCCAGTATTCAGTGAGCCAAAAGCAATTGTTCACTATTTCAATTTAATTTGAATTTACCAGTGTTTATTGAGCATCTAGTATGTCCCAAAGCACCGCTTTGGGCAGTGGGAATACAGCACTGATGAAGCAGACATCCCAGCCCACGTGGGGTTTCCACGCTGGTGCCCGTGTACAGAGGGAAGGGGAATGGTTCCGAAAATTCAGAACAGAGGTGAACTAAACTCCACAGTATGGAAGCATGGTATCTTTCAAGTGCAGACGTTTCACATATTAACCCATCGGATCAAAACCCATTGCTGATACCCTCATTTCTCCTTGTTTTCAAGTAGGCAGGTAAAACTTGAGAAATACTATAGTTCACAAATATTACTCTCAGACACCAAATTACCCTAAAATTGTTTCAGAACAATAGTTACAGTTATACAGCACTTACTAAATGGTGGGTAAGGATCTGTTCTAAGTGATTTACAGCTACCAAATGCATTCAAGCCTACTATGAAGCAGGCCCTACTATTTCCAGCTTTGCAAGAGTGAGGGAGGCACAGAGTAGGTAAGCAGCCTGCCCAAGGTCGTGCTGGTAGCGGTGGTGTAGGGAGTCACACACAGCCTGTGATGTGATTTATGAGAAAAAACATGTTTGGTCACTGCCCACTGCCCCTGTCTCACGGCTCCCAAACCCTGGGAATTTCCTATCTGCTAAGAGTGACAGAGGTGCCTTTTTATGCTGATGAGTCAGTTTTCCCCCAACACCTGAGAATGTGGGCTGGGGGCCAGTGGGCCAACCAGGTGATCAGAGGGTTGGAGTGTCCGTCCTCTGCCCCCTCTGGCCTTGGGGAGAGGGGCTGGAGGTTGATCAGTCACCAGCGGCCAATGATTCAATCAATAGTGCCGATGTTATGAAGCCTCCAAAACTCCAAAAGGATGGCTCAGAGAGCTTCAGGGCTGGTGAGCACACTGAGATTTGCGGAGAGTGGCATGCCTGGGGAGGACATGGAAGCCCAGCAGGCTTTCCCCAGGCCTTGTCCTGAGCATTTCTTCCATCTGGCTGTGGGAGAATCACACCTTTTTACAACCAGTAATCTAGTAGATAACAAGTTTCCCTGAGTTTTGTGGGCTGCTCTTGTAAGCGAACCAGACCCAAGGAGGGGTCCTGGGAACCTCTGGCTTACAGCCAGTGCATCAGAAGCACTGGGTTTGTGGCTGGTGTCTCAAGTTGGGGGAGGGGAGTGCGGTCTTATGGGACTGAACCCTGACCATGGGATCTGATGCTACCTCCAGGTAGACAGTGTCAGAACTGAGCTGAACTGACTTGAATTCTCAGACTCCCTGCTAGGGTCCAAGAACTGCTTGGTTGCCTGTGTGGAAACCCCTGCCCAGCGCCCTCCCCCACCCCCACCCCCACACATTGGAATTGGCTCCAGAACACCTACTTACAGGCAGTCTTACACTTAACTATTATGCCAGGCAATTTTGAGAAGACTGCTCTCAACTGCAAGCAGAACATCTCCAAAAACATCCTGAGGTGATTCTAAAGGCAGTAGGGAGTTGCCCATGGCTCAGGGGTCCAACAGGAGGATCCTGCAGCTAGATCCCTTGCTTTCCCCCCCGGAGGAGGGCCTGGTCTGAGGGCTTGAGTTTGCATGGGAGAGAAGGGACAAACCCCAGCACAGTCCCTGTGACCTGTCCTCGCTAGCCTGAAAGTGCTCTGGATCGCATCACCTGACCACAAAGGACATTTAAGCAGAGGACCCCGGTAAGAATCTTGGGGCCAGTCTGAGAGGCTGAAGTAGCTCCAGTGGAAGCAGCTGACAACAGTTGTCACAGGTAGGAAACCATGGAGGCGGCCAGGGACACTCAGGCGAGGCCCCCCAGGACAGTGCTCCTCGGCAGGTCAGTCAGGGACTGTCTGATCTGTCACTTTGCCAGGCTGGTAACTTGCTTGTGTCACAGCACACATTTTATTCAGGCACAGAGAGACCACCTCATGTTAACCAAATTCTCAGTTGTGGTATAAACCACATTCATTTACAAATGTCAGAAACTGTTTCTGAGTGACAAGGATATGGTGCCTGATTATCAGGTAGCCTCTTCTCAAAGCTGTCAGAGGCCTTCTTAATAACCAGTGCATTGTTTGTGACCATAGTTAGAACAATGGAATACATTTTCCTGGTTAGTCTAAGTCTCCACAGCATCTCCATCCACAAGAGGGATCATCTCTCCAGGAGTGTGAGGATCCCCACCCCCAGACCCCGGGTGGATAAACAGGTGAATGATACTGTTTAGACAACAGATGTGTATCTTTTTTGGTCTTTGCAAATAAGCTAGAGAGAAAAGTATCCTACTCATTTAAGTACAGGATATTACTGCAATAATGGGAAGGCTGAGGACCAGGCTAGAAACGGGCAGGTCTTAGAGGACCAGGTGGTAGGAATTATGGGAATGGTCTCGTAGCAAGGCCGGTCTGGCCAGGACACCACCCCGGTTCTGTGCCTCTTGCTCAGGTTTCAAACACCAGGGAGGAGTACCTAATTTACCCAGCTACATCAAACGCCTGACTGTGGGCTAGAGGAAGCCCAGCTGAGGGTCTTCTTAGACTGGCATCCGGTGAGAAGAGTTAATTCTTCTGAGGAAGTTAGGATGCTTTACGGAGTGGAACTCCACCCTGGGCTGCTCCACAGCAATGTATGTCCACAACAGGTTATTAAAACTCATGAACCAGAGACCACTGAGAACATCTCCTCTAATAAAAAGAAGTTGGGTTAACTGAGCAAGGGAGAATGCACTCCGGACGAACCATGGGCCTCATGCTCAGAGGGGTCAGGTGGGGCTCATAAGGCATGTGGGCTTTTGCTTGATGGTTCTAAAGAGGATTTGAGAAGCAGAGGGTCAGTTCTGGATTGGGTGTTGTCTGCAGTGGATACAAGTAATGATTATGTATCTCAATGATTCTGATGGAGTCGGTGGGAAGATTAAAGTGAGGGTAGACATTCATTGGTAAAGATGTGACCTTGCCTCTTGATATTCTGGAAATGTTGTCTGTGTTTGTTAGGAAAGTTCTAGTCTACCTGCCAGTTGTGAGCTGTCATTTTGGGGGATATCACTGTCTTAGTCTTTGAAGTTCATCAAAGCTGATTGGCTCCCTGGGCCCTGGTTTCCCTCCTGGTGATCTAGAGACATCCGGCCTTTCCATGTGATGCCTGCAGCTGGCTGATCCCATACATGTGGGTACCAGGATGTCCCCAGCATTCAGATAAAGGGGCACCTGAGGGATGTCCTGCAGAGAGCATCCATAGAAACCACAGGGGGACTGGGCACAGTTTTATTAACAATCCTGAGGATTTTTAATTTTTATCAACTGTTCCTTATGCCCAGTGAATACAGTTTCTAACTGAAGGGGTTTCCCCTTTATACCATGTAGGAGTCATCGGGATGACACTTTAAATTGTTTTTAAGATTAAGCCTTTAAGATAAATAAGAAAACTGGACCACAAATTAGTGGTTAAACTGCATGTCCCACCTTTATGACAAATCTCATCTCAACATCTCTGGGGAAGCTGGGGTTCCTATGGCCAGTATCCTCACTGAACTTAAACCACCTGATGATGTAACTGGCCTGTTGCTGGGCTGCCACTTCCACACCTTTAGGCAGTAGCTATTATTCCACTATATAGAGAGCTCGGCCCAGTGCTCTGGGCAGAGGCAGAGACGCTGGTGCTCTACTGCCGGAGAACAAGCCGGGTAATAAACCCTTTCACCCCAAAGAACGTTTTGCTGTCAATTTCTTTGGTCACATTGAATCCATAGCGAACTTGCCCGGGGCTGAAACCCATTGGCAAGACAACATCTATGTAAATTCCTTCTCTCTTTGTTGATGGCTCAGTTCTTCCTGAAAACATTAGGAATTAACTGTGGATGAGACACAGCTAGACTCTTTTTAAATGAGTATCCCAGCTGACAGTGAAAGGTAGTTACAAAGGAACTTTCCCTCTCCCACCCCCATTGTTTTATCTCTTGTTAATTACTGCCTGAGCTTCCTATGTGGGTTCAGTATTGTCACTGTTTTTCTACAACTCCTCAAACATGGCCGGGCAGGCTGTGGACGGACTCAGGCAGCCCTGAGATCTTCCAGCAGACCTACACCTGATTGCTGACCAACCTTTGTGGCCATTGGGGAGTGGTGGCTTCTGTGGCCTGGTATCCCTCTTCTTTCTGGTATTCCTCCTCTTCCTAGGCTCTTGGTGAATTTGTCCTGGTGGAGAAAGATGTCAAGATTAAAAAGAAGGGAAAGATTTACAGCCTCAATGAGGGCTACGCCAAGTATTTTGATGGTGCCACCACAGAATATGTGCAGAAAAAGAAATTTCCCGAGGTGAGTACAGAGAGCCTGAGGCGGCAGGGGGAGAATGCCACCTCAGTGGGCTCCTGCTCTGATGGTGGCTTTGGGGCTGGCTGAGTGAGGTGGTGGTTCTGATCAGCGTGTGTGTGGTGAACTCTGCCTTTCTTTATAAGCAATCAATGTCTTTTATAGCTAAAATTTACCTCCTAAAGATTGCATTCTCCAGGTGAAATTTTTTCCAAGAGAAATTGTTTATAAAGAAGGTCAAAGGAACATTTTCAAAATCGGAGGTTCAGGCCAGAACCTCTCTCAAGTCATTTGTTTGCTGAGCTACTGCTTGTATAGATGCTGATCACTCAGTTACATTCGCATTTACGTGGAATAATTCTACTCATGTGCTCTAATACAGGGACCTGTGTTTATCCCAAGTTTTAGACATCTCTTTGGCTCCCAACATGATCACCGTTTCTGGATGCATTAATACAGCCCGAATAACCCACTCAATATGTCAGCATACAGGGAGCTTTCTAGTCATGGATGGCAGCAGAGTCGAGGAACTTCCAGATCAAGTGTGTGAAGTCTGGTTTAGACTGGAAGGGGAGCCAAAGCTTATTTACAAGTGGGACCCTCTTTCACCAAATTCTGGAGGATATCGTAAGGGAGGCCTTTCTCCTGTGATGGAAACGCAGTGGGGTGGGGTGCCTGCCTGGGAGTCCCTGGACCTCCACTTGAGCTCCAAGGAGAAAGAGCTCAGGGTTCCATGGGACCAGGCGGCACTCAGTCAACTGGACACTGAGACTTGCGTTTGCTGCCTCCAACAGGAACTTCAGAGAATTTTCTTCTTCCTTTCTTATTGTTTGTTTTTTTAAGTGAAATTCTCAAAAGTGCATTTCCTTTACCTCTTCCTTTTGCCATAGCACACGAACCCATCAGATGTCTTGAGGCCAAAAGTAACAGAATATGAGTTATGAGGTTGATAAAGTTAAAACTATTTACAAAACTACATCTCCCCAGTCTTGGAGATGTTTTCTTAGTGGTTCCCATTCTAGACTAAAAAGTGCCTCCTTTAGAAGCCATAAAGGAAGACACTTACTGCTAAAAAATAAAACTCCTATACATAAACATTACCACAAGTCTGTCTGAAAGAGAAGTTGCAAACTGAGAAAAAAGTAATCAGCACATAGATGACCAACAACAGGTGGAACAGTGACTACACGAGGATGCCTTACAAATCTTAGCCCAAGGATGAGCCTCCAAATAGAAAACTGGGCAAAGGCATGGCCATGCAAGTCGTGGAAGAAACATACATGTCCCATCAGCAAGTGGGAAGTGGCCACTAAAAAACAAATGCAAATTAAAATGCACTACCACTTCTGCATATGAGATTGGTAATGATTGAAAGATAAGCAGTGCCCAGTGGTGTGGGAAGACAGGCCCTCTTGTGAATTGTTAAAGGAAACAAATGTCCCAGCCTTTCTGGAGGACAGTCTGTCAGTATGATTTCCAATATTAAGTATCCATATCCATTGACTCAGCAGTTTCTTCTAAATTCCACTGAAATTTGCCCTAAGGAACTAACAGGTCAAATAAAATTGATAAATGCACATGGATATGTCATTGCAGCATTGTTCATAACAACAACAAAAGGAACTGAAGTGTCCATCAGTAAGGGCTGGTTAATATATTATGGTATAGCCACAATATCCCAGGGAAGTGTTGTGCTACACATTCATCCACTAGAAAGGTAAGTCCTTCTTATCTATAGGTAGTAAGACATGTCTACAAAATACTCAGTGAAAGAAGTGGGTTACAGAACGAAATGTAATCTCATATATGTAAGTATATATATCTATGTATATATATTTATGCACACAAACATATGTAGCATGCATACATGCATAAAATGTCTTCAAAGACTGTTCCATTTCATTAACAGTGGTTTCTGAAAGTTGAGGCTACATGGTTCTTCACTTTCTATATGTGTAAATATGTGCAATGATCATGTGTTACTGAAAATAGCTTATTCCAATTTTCTTTATAGAAATTATTACAAAATCATTGTCATTTGAAGAAGCAATCAAAGTGTATGCAACCAAAACATTTAAGGAGAAAAAAATATATCAGGTAGTTAATTATTAAAAATAGTATATTCTTTTTCCTGGATTCTGTGATGTTTAGTATTAGTCAGCTGTTAAAAGTCTCCATGTCTCTCTGGTCAGTTGTAGAAAATAGAAAGTCTGGTGGTCACTTAAATCATAAAGAGACCAGTGAACTCAACATATTAATCAATATTTCAGTACTGATTCAAAGAGGAGACCCTTTTTTCTTGAATTTGATAAATGATTTATATTTTACAAATTTCTTTTCATTATTATTGTATTAACTTTATGCATAAACCACACACATACATACTCATGTATAAATACAAAATGTAATTATAAACATGCTTTCTAAAAAAAAAAACAAAATGAGATCCTTCTCTCCTTTTTAAAAATAGGAATTCTAAACAAAGGGAACTAAAGGAAGGTACACCATTTCCCAACATAAAGCAAGACTCCAGAATCTTCCCATTCCTTTTTAATGTGAAACTAGTTTTAAAGTACATCTGTCCTTAGCAAAAAATGAATTGTTTGGTGTCTTGCTTGCTCACTTTTACCTAATATCCCTTACAAGTTTCACAAATTGAAGACTAGAGGTTAGTTGGATCTGGCCCCAAAACGCTAGTGCACATGTCACATATCAAGGGACCAGTGTGAATGCTGGATAATTTCCATAGGCAATGGTTGAGAGTTCTCGGGGAGATTTTCTTCTTGATTCAAAAACTGTCATTATTTTGACTGAAGTGCTGGATGGTCTTGGGAATGTCCAGTTCTGACTGATAAGAAAAGCAGAGACACAGTGAAATACAGTTGGATCTCAGAATCTGCCCTATAGATATAAAAAGCAGTATTAACCCCAGACAAGTGGACATACCATTGACAGAATGGTGTGCAACCCCCTGGGCTGCGGGAGAGGTTCACAGTGTTCCCTTAGAGAAATTAAAAGACAGCAAAGGAAAATAACCTGAGCCCCATTCTCTGAGAAACTCTCCATGAAGAGATGGAGTAGAGATCACAGGAGGAGAGGCTGGCATGCTGAGCATTGGCATGAAGCTGGTGCTTTATGAAGTACTTTTATTTACCATTTTAAATACAGAAAGGCCTAAAAGAGAAAACAGTAAATAGTCTGTAATTTTCCACTTGATTAAAACTATAATTTCTATTTTTGTTAACAAAATTTAAAAAGTAATATATCTTAAAAAGTGAAAAATAGAATTCCCAAATGACCCAGCAATTCCACTCCTGGGTATATACCTCAAATTATTGAAAACAGGTATGCAGACAAAAACTTGCACACAAATGTTGATAGCAGTGTTATTCATAATATCTCAAGGTGGAAACAACTCAAATGTCCATTGACTGATAAATGGATAAATTAAAGGTGGTATATCCATACAGGGGAATATTATTCAGCCTTAAAAAGGAATGAAATACTGATGCATACTGTCACATGGATGAATCTTGAAAATATTTGTGCTAAGTGAAAGATGCCAGATGCAAGGGAAAGGTAAATCCATAGAGCCAGAAAGCAGGTCAATGGTTGCTAGGACCTTGGGGAGGGGAGGGCAAGGATACCTAATGGGTATGGGGTTTTCTTTTGGGGTGATAAAAGTGTTCTGTAACTGGATAGAGGTGATTGCTTGTGCATTATGAATATTCTAAATGCCACTGAATTTGTACACCTCAAAATGGTTAATTTTATGTGATTGAATTTTACTTCAATTTTTAAAATAATGTAAGATTAGGAAGCTTTACACATACAGAAATATACAAAATTAAAAGTGAAAGCTTTCCCTCTCCCCATTCCAGCCAAGTAGCTCTTTCCAGGGATCCCACTGTTAAGTGTTTCTTTTGTTCTTTGATTTGGAATGGTGATGAGGGAGTATATGCACCTATCTCCTTATCTACCCCCGTCTCCCTTTTAAGCCATAAGATATAGCATATTAATCTCACCTATTTTTTTGATGACCTTGAAGATTGTTGTAGCTAAGCTAAGCATGAGCAGACCTATTGCACTCCCTGAGAGGGCTGCCCGGCCCTGTGTGGAGCAGGAATGACGGAACTAATTCCTCATGGAGAAGCTATGCTTGTTTGTGGTTTTTCACCATCAGAAACAGAGCTGTAATGGAAATGCCCAACTACATACACTGGGGACATTTTGCAAGTGTATTTGTAGGGCAAATTTCTTACTGATGTTGCTGGATCAAAGGGTATGGGCATTTAGCATCTTGATACTGCCAAATATTCTTCCAGAAAAGTTGCATCAATTTATCCTTTTTGGCACAGTATAAAATAGTACCCCTCTTGCTGCAGCCTCACTAGTGCCAGATATGGTTAATCCTTTGAAATTGTGTCCATCTGATGGATAAAAAGGTGTACCCTGTGACTTGATCTGCACATGTGTAATTACGATTTAGGCTGTACAAGCTTCCTTATATTTATCGAGCATCTGTTTTTGTCCCTGTAGATTGACTATTCCTATCCTTTCCATTATTATATAGTGTTCATCTTTTTCTTGGTGCTTGTGTAAACTTCGTAAACGAAGGAAACTAGCCTTTTGTCTCTTACTCGTGTTAGAAATATATGTAGCCTTTCAGCTTTTATGCCACAGAAATGTTTAAAAATTTTGTCAATAGTTTTATTTTTTAAATTTCTATGTGTTTTGTGTACCAAACTGTAAATTAATGTGCTCATCTTTTCTTGTGTGCTGTCCAATAGAATAGCTACTAGCCACATATAGCCATTTACATGTAAATTAGTTAAAGTCAGATTTTCATCTTCACTAGTCTCATTGCCAGAACTCAATAGCCACATGTGGTGGGTGGCTACTGTATTGGACAGAGTGATAAAAAGCATTTCCATCATCACAGAGAACTCCATTGGACAGACTTATCCTTAATTATTTATGCTTTCCTACTTTTACATCTTTATCCA